GAGTTGAGTTGAGTTGAGTTGAGTTGAGTTGAGTTGAGTTGAGTTGAGTTGAGTTGAGTTGAGTTGAGTTGAGTTGAGTTGAGTTGAGTTGAGTTTTTATTGTAAATATTGGTCACAAACACTGGACAGCACCAGTCTCCTGCACTTCTTTGGCCTCTTAAATCAAGTCTTACCACACTCACAGATGTCTATGTTTATATGGTAAAATAAAAGTACCTTCACCTTGCTTTGTTCTAATTCTGGGCACACAGAGAACACCTGTCACTGCTGATCTGAGAGTCCTGCATGTTTTGTAAGGCACAAGTAGATTTGAAAACGTAACTGAGTGATAATGATTTGTCACTTAAAAATTATTATGCATACATTTTAAACAACTTTGTTGGACTTATCTGGACATTTAACAAGAATATTGTATTTTTACACCAACAAAATTAAATTTTTGTGTGATTTTCATACATGGCTGCTTTTATATTTCACATTTATGTAGATACACTTTATAGAACTTATTTAATGTATTTTTTACTGTGTTGTTCACCCTGTTCTGTTTTTGATATGTCAGTCTAACATGCATTCTTTAGTCTTACATTTAGTACAAATTATTACTCCTAATATAATGATAATAAAAATAATGCTCTCGGTGTGGTTGTGGTATTTTGAATTTAGCTGCAGAATAATCACATCAAAACCAAAGTATCATAAACCTGTATTTTATTCACAGTATGATACAGAAAATATATTAAATGTTTAAAGAGAGTCATTTTATTATTTCATTAAAAACTTTGAGTTCATTTTGAATGTGAATGCAGAAAGATATCTTTAAAAACATATGGATGCTGCAATGGTATGAATTTCAAAATTCATACCTACATCACCTTGTTCTTCAACTTATTGCATCCATCCATCCATCCATCCATCTTCATCCGCTTTGTCCGGGGCCAGGTCGCGGGGTCAGCAGCCTAAGCAAAGAGGCCCAGACCTCCCTCTCCCCAGCCACCTCCTCCAGCTTATCCGGGGGAATACCAAGGCGTTCCCAGGCCAGCCGAGAGATATAATCTCTCCAGCGTGTCCTGGGTCTGCCCCGGGGCCTCCTCCCGGTGGGACATGCCTGGAACACCTCACCCAGGAGGCGCCCAGGGGGCATCCTTGTCAGATGCCCGAACCACCTCACTTATTGCATTCACAAGATTTTTAAAAACACTTCACCTCTGACCTTGATCTTAAGGCCGAGGTCACTGAGATGTGATGTCATCCAAGATTTTAGTAGATCGAGTTTGAAACTCAGGTGTCGCTGGCCTACCCGTCCTGCAGGGTCCTGACAATACCCCATCTGTCTTTTATGGCTGACAGTAAAAAGGGTTAGTTTTGAGAGCAACTTTTAATTTAGTTTTAGCCATATCTTTTGACTGAAGCGTCATTTAGTTATTGTCAGAATTTAGACATCTGAATTCATGTGATTACTAAATATCATAAGATTATTTTTGACTAAATCTAAAATGATACAGTTTCCTGGGCGTGTCTTACTGCCATGGTTCTTGGTGTTGGACCCAGTGTTTTGAATTATTGATTTGGTTTCTGGTTTATAGGGTTCACATTTTGGCATATTTGGTTCTATTCCTTGTTCCTCTCTGCTTTAGAGTTAATTCCTCACTCAGTGTTTATCATCATGTTTAGTCACCTGCATTAGCTTCATTTGTGTGTCTGTGTATCACGTTAAACTCTCAGTTTGCGTGTGTTCCTTGTCCGATCCTCGTTTATGCACTGTAAAATCGAATTAGCTGATAAAACTTTAAAAAATTATACAGACTCATTGGCTCAAAAAACAAAGTAAAGCTTGCTTACAATAATTAAGTTAGGACATCTTACTCATTCTGATGCTGTGTCTCCGGGAGTCAAGGTTTCAGTCTGTTTACTCCTCCCGTACGCCGTGACTGCAGATAAAGCTTTTTTTTCATTTATTTCTGCCTCCTGACTTCTGCATTTGGGTCGACTCTCTGCCTACCGCACAGTGGTCCATCACACATGCTAACTGGAGCTCATCTCTCCAGAAATTTTTCAAGCCATTTTTATATTTTGATGAAAGTGTCGGTCCATTTCATTTGTCTTCATGCTGTGACCCAGTATTTGTGTTTCAACATCTGGAATTATATTCTTTGATTACTGATCTTCGTGTTTTTGAGTTTTTTATTTAGTTCTCTCTCCCTTAACGTTTATCTCAGCCTGCAGTTAGTCTCTGTTCCCGTGTTTTCCCTGTTCTTTATATCCCTGTGTGCCACATCTAGTGCTTTTGTATTTCTTCTGTTCCAGAGTCTGTCGTGTTTCCATTTCAAGTCGTGATGTCATTCTTCCTGTTTTATTTTGATAGTCCTTGCCTTATGTCAGTGTATTCTGATTTTCTTTCTTTTCCCCCCGTGTGCCCCTCTGTGTATCTGTGAAACCTTGTTTCCCCTCCTTGTGTTTTATTCCACGTTTTCCCCAGCCCGTTATGTCCGTGCTCTCTCTCCTCCTGTCTGAACCTCTGTGTACTTCCTGTTTTACTTTGACAGTCTCTCGTCAGTATGTGTCATGTTGTGTTCACTCCTGCCCTGCCTTGTTACAATTATCTGTGTCAGCTGTGTTCCCCATGTGCTCCCACTTCCCTCTTTTACCCTCTGTGCATTTATGTCCACGTCTCCCTCAGTTCAGTGTTGCGTTCTCCCTCGTGCTGTGTGTGATTCTCCCTGTGTTTCCTGGTGAGCTTTATCTTTAGTTTTTCCCCAGTTGTATTACTCGTGATCTGTCTTTCCAGCAATAAAGCTGTGCTTTCTGAGTTTATTCCCCGTGAGTTTGCGTTTGGGTCCTCTCCTGCCTGCCACACAGCCTAATCATGACAGACACATGCCTTTGTTTTTATTTTGTTATTATCTTGTTTTTGTCAGGAAGGGGGAAAAAGATCATTGGCTAAAAAGCAAGTGGTACTAAAAAGAAACAGGTCGAGAAACATTTGGCAACTAATTAGATTAGTTGGCAACAACTCTGTAACATTGCTAATGCAAACAGGCCAAGACTGACATAATCCCTACATCAAATATCTGAATGTAAGTGAGGTGTTTTTGAATTAAAGTTCTCTTTAAAGTTATGTACAAACTGTAGAAATGGGTTAGCATCACTTTCCTTTCCAGACTATATGACCCAAAGGTGCATTGTATTATTATTTTCATTACTAAGATTATATTACAAGTGTTTGGGTAATTAATTGTGCATTTTTAATTTAGGTGTGGTTGCATGTTTCAGTATTCTCATTCTGATTCTGATGGCAAAGAAAATAGCCTACAGTGTAAGACATTTAAAATAATGACAAAATAATGATATTTTCATATCATTATTTGGATGATCTGATATCCTCGTGTTGGTGTTGTTCCCAGACCATCATGAAAATGTTGTTCCAGGTTCAACATTGCAAATGACCAATCACATTGTTGTGACGTTATTCTTTTGCGCGCCAAGCCATTCCTGCATTTATGAAATTCCAATGTTGCAAGGACAATGTCAGCCCTTCTCCTTTTAGCATGCTCCATGATAACAAGCGCGTCTATGTCAGATGTGAAACTCCAAAAGGAAGACTAAATATCTATAAATCATAAATCACACTAACGCTCGAACCACCTGCTAAAACAGCGAGGCTTCAGACGTCATTAGTGACGTCACTCGCCCTTAAAGAAGCAAGCCTCGGCACGCGCTTGATAAAAGCCTTCCTGGATTTCTCGACGGCGCAGCGCGTCCCATCACTAATTCCAGGCTTCACTTTCAAAATTAATTTTTCCATTTTATCAGCTATCATTCGGCTGAACCCGGCACTGCTCGAGCATCTTCGGAAGTAATGGGCGTGCTCGAATGCAGAGTGCGTCTCAACCGGCGGTACAATCGGATGATCCCGGGCGGGCGGAGCCAATTAGGAGGAAATGGTACAGTTGGCTGACTCCTCCTAAGAAAACCGGCGACGACCATCAGTACCCGGCAGTTTCATCGTACATCTGTACCGCTTTCAACTCAACGTTACAGCAGCGTGTTAAATCTCTTGAGCCAGTCTTAGGTCACTCACAAAAACCACACCAACACTTACTTCTAAACCAAGCGGCACTCGTATGGTGCAATTTTTTTTTAGAAATATACGCCAAGGGCTTGGAAATTAACGTTTCAGAGAAATTGCTGCAGGATGGAGACGCAAATACATGTACCCGTGGGCTCGCCGGTAATTAGAAAAATCCCAGTTTTCGTGGACGAGCGCAACGTAACGGAGGGAGCGATGAAGCTCATTAAAGAGCTGAGACCGGCGTGGGACTCGAGCGACGTCAAGACCAAGGTAACGTTAGCCGCAAAGCTAGCTGTACTGATTATGCTAGGCTAGGAAAGGATTGACAGCTTTGCAGCATCACCGGCAAGCTAGTAGGAGGGTCGTGGCAACCTGACATGTCGCCTAGCTGAATTTATTTTATTGCACCGCCTATAGTTGACTATTTCTATTTTCTTTACCAACTAAGAAGTTGAAATTGGTTTTGCTTTAGAGAAAATTTACATTTATAGGTTACCGTAGCTATCAAGGTGTTCTAATTAATTAGCAAACTTGCACCAGGATGTCCCAAAACTTGGTACGCTTCTTATCTGTAGTGTATGCCCAAAGTGCCAATCGCGTAGGGCACTTAAAGACGGTGTGAAAGCTGGTATAAGTCGCGCTGTCATCTTGGTGTTGGAGGACAGCTGATGGTGGCGCGATGGTCAGTTTAATAGAGGAACACGGTGATCGGTAATAATTACTAGTTCAAAGGGACAGACTGTGTTACAGCAGGTCCCTGAGCTTTGTGTTCATTATAGCCTGCAGCTGATTGCTGTGTCTCGTTTCTTCCCAAATACATGTGTGTGAATCCTAATGATATTAGACACACTAGATTTTGGACTTCAATGGAGTGTACATGTTGGAGGCCAAGATATACAGTCTCTTCTTTTAAACCGTTTAAATGTTTTCTTAAAAAATAGTACTAAAGAAGTGTGTGTGTGTGTGTGTGTGTGTGTGTGTGTGTTTTAATAAACAAAGAACCGTTGGGAAAAAACATCTTCCAGTTTTACTATGTCCACTACAGAGGATATAGCAAATAGGCTGAGTCTCCGGATAATATTGTTGTTGTTCCCATTTTATACAAGTAAAATAAAAAACTTTTTTTAAAGTCTTTTAAAGTCTTTCGTCTCCCTGAACATTTCCTCAGCTACAAAAGCAGAGATTAAACATCAGCCCCAGTCATATGTATCTTATCACTGATGGGCATTAGCAAGCCAACATGTCTCTCTAGCTTTCAGGTGATGTCAGATTACTGGGACACGCCCACCTGAATGGCAGAAACAGTACTGCTTGCCCTCCAGCAATTATTTGAACTTTGAGTTTAATTTAGCGTAATAGTTACTGTGCTACTAGATGTGCTAATCAGCATTTATTTATAGCTGCTGTAGATTGGGCACCAACACGTGAGCACACCTCTGCCAACCCTGCCTTACAGGTCAAATCCCACCAATCATTGCTTCTCACCAGCAGCCCAGGCTGTTAGTGGCAGCTCATTTAAACTGTAAAAATGATTTACCTGACAATGGAAAAATACTTTACTGTTATGTCATAACATTAATGTCACAAATTATTACTACTGGAATTTTAGTGACCCTGCACTGTAAAAGTCTAAGTCAGCAAACCGTAAGATTTACATGTGGTAGTTTGAAAACTTTTATCCTTTTTATCCATACAAAAGCCATCTACTGTTATGGTATGTGGGCTGATGGTGATGCCAGCCATCTGAGAATACAAATTCAGATGCAGGCAGACAGGACATTGTTGGTTCTTTTAAAGGGGAAAGAATTCAATTCAATTCAATTTTATTTATATAGCGCCAAATCAAAACATAAGTCGCCTCAAGGCGCTTCATAGATACAGAGAAAAACCCAACAATCATATGACCCCCTATGAGGAAGCACTTTGGCAACAGTGGGAAGGAAAAACTCCCTTTTAACAGGAAGAAACCTCCGGCAGAACCAGGCAGAATGAGATCGCAGATGCATGCTTTGCAAATGAGCTTTCTCCAAACTGTAGATAAGCTCTCCATTAGCATAGGAAGAGGAATTGAGTCATTTGGGAGGGGTTCAGAGCAGAGCCGCTGTTCCTCCACATCGAAAGGAGTCAGTTGAGGTATTGCCTTCTGGGTAAGGTGTTTCAGTTGGGTACGTCCTACCTGGAGGAGGCATGGGGCAGACCAAGGACACGCTGGAGAGATTCTGTCTCTCGGCTGGCCTGGAAACACCCCAATAAGTCCCCGGATAAACTGGAGGGCTCGCGGGTTGGTGAGAGGGAGATCTGGGCTCCCTGCTTAGCCTGGTGCCCCTGCATCCCATTATCAGATACTGGACGATTTATTCATTCGTTATGTTAGAGCTGAACTTTTATTGAGTAGTTGTCATGAATTTTTAAACAGTGGAAATCATTTTGTCTTGATGGAGTGATCAGGCCTGAGAGTCAACAGGAGAAAAATTGTATGAATTGTATTGATCTTAATTTTTAGCAGGTTTATCTTTTTTTTTTTTTTTTTAGTACCTTATTTGTTTATTTTTTATTGTTTTTGAATACATCTATAATTCCCTTTTTTTCGGACCCTCATGCTCCTGTAACAAGTGAATTTCCCTACTGTGGGAATAAAATCTATATCTAATATTTGCAAATTAACTTTGCATTAAACAGGGGATTAAAAGGTTGGAAGTAAAGCCTTGATGTTGATTTACAAAGTTGAAGGAAACTCTTATATGGAATTCATCGTCATAGGCCTACCTCAGGTTTGTGCTTTTGCTTATACTTTGATGTGGGACGATAATAACAATGTGCTGTAATAATATAGGCCATGAGCTAAACATCCACCCCTATAACAACGTCATGACATACTGTACCATTGGGTATGTAGACAATGGTGCGTATCAGCACCTTTATTCATTGTAATATAATAACAGTTGGTGGCAGATGTGGTTCCAAGAAGTCTTTTTTTAAAAGATTTCCCTAGAAGTGTGGTGGTGTTAGGTAATCCACAGAGACTTGACTCGTCAGGGAAAGGAAAATGCATAATTGATTCCAGGTAAAAGGATCTAGTAACTGTTGTGTCGTAGCTGGGTCAAAGTTTTTGGAGCAGTGAGCGCTACAGAACTGTTAAAAGTCCTCAGTGGCACAGTCTAAGCCCAGCTGCTTCAGCCCTGTATTTACATCCTGGTTACTCCTCTCCCTGGGCCTTGCACAACAGCCACCTGCAGCTGAGGATGTGACCGTGTTTACCTCGACTTTTCCAGGCCAGACTGGCAAAACTTCTCTCAACGACTACCACTCTGACAGTAGATTTATACACCTGCACTGTTGACAGGAAGACCTGACCGGCCCTGCCACCTGGACAGGGAGATTTTTATTGTCTATTGCCAAACATCCACACACTTCCTGAAAATGGCAGAGTGCCTGCAGCGACAGAGAAATGGTCTCCTCTTACAAGTTTCACATAACGAAGACTCAAAGATTCACGTCAATCAAGGGAAACCTGTTCCAGCCTGTACAGTGAGGTCACCCTACAGGGACCTGGTTATTGGTAGTGGGGTGGTTGAGGGGGGAGGGGTGGATGCCACCATCAATGTCCCATGCAAGCAGTATATGGCAGAATGTTTACCTCTGTCTGGGTCCAAGCTTATCGCTGTCTGTCGATGTATTGATCGTAGGTCTTAGCAGCGTATTGTGTGGCGGGCAGAAGGGATCAGTCACGTTTTGGCAAAGGCGTGTATGCTTGTGTATGAATGGTCATAACAGGGATGTCTGTCGCCCATCTTTGTGGTGAGCCACGTGTGGAATGCCAGATATGCGTGAGTGAGCGTCTGGTCCTTGGGGGGGAGATGCAGACAGTGTGTATGTTGTTATTGTGTCCGCTGCAGCGGGACGGACCGGCCCACCACTGTCCACTGGAGCCACGCTGTCACTCCGATTTTTTTGTTTTTTAAGGCCAAGTTTCAAACACACAAGGCTTTTTGCTAACTTTTCATTTTAGAAAAAGCATTTGACTCAGCTTGTTGACAGCATCACTCTTTAAGACTGATCAGGCGACGTGCAAGAAGTCTTCACCAGTGATATGAAGGAACACTCAGGGTGTTTTTACACCTACGCTGTTTAGTCCGTTTTAATTGAACTCTGGTTCGTTTTCCCAACTGGTGCGGTTTGTTTGTGTGGATGTGAACATAGTAACTGCATTCACATGTGGACCAAAACAACCACACCAAGAACCAACAGTCCAAAGTCCAAACGAACTCCAGAGAGGTTCATTTACAGTTCGTTTACAATGTGAACGTGAGCCGATATGAAACAAATACTGGGTGTACATTACAAGCTTAAAAAACATCCTGTAGCCAGATAGAGAACATCACCAGTTAACCTTTGGACTGTGGGAGGAAATCAGAATACATGGGGAGCACCCACGCAGGCACTAGCAGAATATGCAAGGTCCACACAGTTGATGGATTTGAACCCTGGACCTTCTTGCTGTGACGTGACAGTTGTAACTACTGCACCACCGTACCGTCCAGGATGATATGATCAAGATAAAAATGTTTCCTCTTAGACTAAAGGGAGTAACTCAGTATAATGTTGGTATGTCATCATCGTCATCAGCGTAAGGGGACAAGTGGGCTTGGTGGATGCCACACAAACACTCAACCACTTGTCGAGAACATGGTGGCAGATGACTCTATCTGAGGACTGTATCTGTGTAGACCGCTGCAGAGGGCTGTTGAACCACTACACTCTGTAGTGTGCATTCATTTTTGATGAGTTTTATGCCCTACTGTAATATCCCTCTCCATGTCACTGTCCATACACTGCTCTTGCTAACACAGACTGACCATGCCCTGTTCTCATGTTCTTGTACAACTATTATTCAAACAAAATCTTAGTAAGATGACTTAAAAACCACTTCAACATTTAGCTCAAGTCTTCTGTGAACCCTGCGGAGGCGTTCTGACATATTCATCTCATGTAGGTCAAAGCTGTATGGTGTCTTCAGGGTTGATGTTGACTTAGAGGTAACTAATAGCTTTCAGGAAAACAGTCCTGAAGCACCATGGCGCTGTACAATCAGAGGCTCTGTTTGAGACGAGATGTGGTTTCATCTTTTTCCAGCTCTTCACCGATGGAACCACCAACAAGCTAGTGGGCTGCTACGTGGACGACAGTCCAGATGACGTAGTCCTGGTCCGAGTATATGGAAACAAAACAGAGCTGATTGTGGACCGAGACAATGAGCTTAAGAGCTTTCAGGTAGTGTTGCCGCGTTGCAGAGTCCTAAATTAATTAACGTAAGCAGTTGTTTGCTCCTACCTCATTGTCATCTTTTTGTGTCTCCTAGGTGCTGCATGCTAATGGTTGTGCTCCTCGCCTCTATTGCACCTTTCTAAATGGCATCTGCTATGAGTTCATGCAGGGAGATGCACTTGGAACGCAGGATGTCAGAGATCCTACTCTGCTCAGGTGTGAATTTGTCACAGCAATGTTTGAATGGGTTTTTTGAGTTTACTCAAAGATGGTGAAAATTTTAACATCAGTGCTTTTCTGCCTCATACAACAAAGATTAGACACATGGAGAAATGCACAGGACACACACAAAAAGAACTGTATAATGAAGAAAACGGACAATTCCACAAGGTTCTGAGCTGAAACGCAACATTTAGAGGGAATGCTTTATCTGGTAACACAATGTTTTGACTGTGAAACAGTCTTCCCATTGTGGACGTCAGCTCTGTGTAGTGGACATTATGTATTTTCTTGTTTTAATTCAACTATCTCCAGGAACTCTGTAACCAAAATTTGTCCTTGTAGATAAATGAAGTAGGACACTCTGCCACTGTACTGTGGGGATTCTTTACAACTAGATACTAATGGTCTGTAGTTGAAATCTTGCCACGACTGTAACCTTGTTCTGTCTGTCTCCGCTCAGGCTGATAGCCAGGGAAATGGCTCGTATCCACGCCATCCATGCACACAACGGCTGCATCCCCAAACCCAACCTCTGGATCAAGATGCGGAAATATTTCTCACTTGTAGCCACAGAATTCACAGAGCAAGCCTCCAACATCAGGTGAGCTCCTGCTTATCTACTTTCAAAGCTCAAAGTTAAGGTTATCATTATCACCGTGATAATGATGCAAATAGTCCATAAAGCCCAGCATGAGTTTCCTGTTAAATGAGAACATAAGCTGTTTGCATAGAGCCTGAAATATTCTGCAAGTTCTCCGTGATGAAGCAGTGGGGTAGTTGGGCTTTCTTTGCATAAAAAATGACAGAGATAACTGCAAAAAGCGTACGACTGTATCCTGTGCGGTTCATGTATTGATGTCCAAATATAAACTTTAACATTATTTCTGGGTTTGAAGGCTAACAAATGTTCCTGTTGGCACAGCACTGTCCATTTGAGAATGCGTTAGCAATTAAGACTGTCACGCAGCTGAAATACTCGGCACAGACTCAAGTTCTCTTTATTTTTTCCAGGTTTGTTTAAAAAGCACATACGACTAAATAAGCAATACACCTTAGCTAGTCTCAGTAGAAGAGAGTTAGGTGCTCTGCTGCAAATACAAGGTCTCCTGTTCCATTGCAAGCACACATACTGCAAAGTCGCATGATTTGACAGCATATGGGATATAGCCCAAATCAAGTCTGTAGAGAGAAGTAAACATGTGCTAAGGTCAGACGCCGGGAGGAATTAACCAATGACACAATAATGTTATTGCTATGCTAATTAGCTCATTACAACAATGGAGCAAGCTTTATATTTCTACTGAAATATGTCAAAGCAGCATGGAGACAGTAAACTTTTTAATCTTATCTTTGTGTTTTATATGAGTAAAATATCGTTGACTTGTAGCTTTAGCATAAAACTGAACACTTGGCTTGCAGCATAGAAAACACCAAGATATTTGTCAGCCAAAAGATGAGATGTAATAGAGATGTAATTTCCCAGCCTTACCTAGAAGTGTGTTTAATGAAAATGTAAATTCATCTCTATATAATAAGGAGGATAGCATGGCAGAGACATGTGGAGCAGATAAAGTATACCATTTTATAACCTGGCCAGCTGCCCAGTCCCAGCTAATATCTTTGTTCTCTTCCCTGTTAGATTAAGTCCAGCATGTGGCTTATATAACTGTAACAATAATAGCAGACTGGATTAGGGAGTGTTTGGCATTCAGTGGGCCAGCAGATGTTTGCTTAGCCCGGTCTATCAGATCACTTTATCCCGTCCTTGGTAACACAGACAGCTAGAGTCCCTGGTCCTGGACAGCAGACACTTGTTGCACACTGCTATCTGAGAAGCCCTCATGTTGCGCTTCATTTTAATAGGCCGGTGTTATTTGTAGCATTTAGTCTAAATCAGAATCATTTCAGTAACATTTCCTCTGTGGATGACATGTTAGATGAGTTAAGTTTGAGTGAGTGTCAGAGAGAGAGCTAGCTAGATGGAGATCTGAGAGGAGAGGGTGCATCCTGTGTGCACACTGGTTTTCTCTGAGCTCAGACTGTCTTCAGATTGATACTGGAGTAATCCACATAAGCCCATTACATTTAACAAAGGGGTTTCTACTCAGCACTCTTAGCTTTTGCTTGGATGAGACTACCTTAGCTCTTTCTCTGCTATCTAGTAAGACCACCTTTGGACTGCCATCAGATCAGACTACACAATCTTAGCTGGGCTGAACCCTTCGTGATGCGTGAATCCTCAGTAGGTTTGTGTCATGTGCACACAGATGAGAAGAGCAAAGATTTATATAAATACTGGTGCAGGATATGCATGAATGTTTCAAGTACAGTGTGGAATAAATCGCAGATCAGATGTTGGTAGTCAGGTCTGAAAACTGTAGGTGTAATGTAGCCGTAATAACAGTGACTCCAGCACCAGGAGGGTCCACTGAGAACTTGTTTCTCTGCAACTGTGTTCCCAGGAGTCAGCAGGCCAGAGCCCCACTGAGCTTGTGTGTGCTGCCTGTGCATGTCGCACTCAGTTGTTTTCATTTCACATATGTTCCCACGTGGCATGATACCAAAATAATGAAAGGTGTTTTATTTAGGTGAAAAACGGCCAGTGAAAGTATTCCTGTGATACTTACTTAACAGGTGGACACAGTGTTGTGCGTGCAGCTATTCTGAATGGTTGTCACAACAATGTGCGCGACTACACTGACCTTCTCTCCATTTCCTTCCCTGTCCAGAATACAGCAGGAAGTTCCCAGCAAGGTGGTGCTGGAGCAGGAGATGGTTTGGATGAAGGAGCATCTTTCCACACTGGGCTCACCTGTGGTGCTCTGTCACAATGACCTGCTCTGCAAGAACATCATCCACAACAGCAAAGAGGGTAAGTGTCTGAGCCTTAATCTGAGCTTCTCGTCTCACGACTGTGGTTCTATTTTACAACCAGAATGAGCAGCAGCACTTCTAACTTCACTCCCCACACTGCCCCCATTCCAGTGGATCATTGACAGCTGGATCACTAGAAGTGAGGCATGTTATACTAACTGCCTGCACCAGCACAAAAACATCTTTTGGTGTTAACATGTAAAGGTTGGGAGTTACTAAAGTAATGCTTTATTTGCATAATATTTCCCTTTTAGTATAACTTTCTGTTTGTGCATCTATAACAACCAGCATGCACACATATAGCTCTCTAATATCATATGCTGACTTTTACAGTTGTTTCCTTTTATTCTTTAGGCAGTCTGTGCTAACATTTATAGAAATGGCCTTGGGCTTTGAGGAGTTTCAAAACAGACAGATAGTTGTCACATGTGTTCGCCAAGCTGTGGTACAAAATACTAAGAATTCTAATATTTTGTACCACAGCTTGGCTAATGCAAACAGCTGGACAAATTAGCTTGAATCCACAATAGCTGACTACGTTAGCATTAGCCATGACGCACAGTGCAGCATGCTGATAACCATCAATGACCGGAAAAAAGGATTTGTGTGCTCTACAAATGAAGAAGAAACACCCATAAACAAATATTATATGTTAGTTTGGTTTCTGGGGGGAAAAGCATTTGCCTGTTAGCAAATTAATTCAGCCGTAATGTTAGCATTCCCAATAACTAGGATTTATCTGGCGGTTACTAGGTTTTAAGGAAAACAGAAACATGATCTTTGCAACTAGAGCAGGGCGATATGGCCAAAAATATTTATCACGATATATATTTGAAAATTTGCGATAACGATATAACTGACAATATAATTGATGCGAGACAAAATACAACTCCACAACATTACTAGCGCAAAAAGACAACCTTCCATTTATTTTCACTTAAACAAGCAGCTGTTTTTTATGTATATTAAAGCTATATAAAAAATTAACAGTGCAAATGCAAATTCCTTGCTGAAAGTTTAACCAAAAAACATTTCCAGTAGAAATGGGCTGACATATCCTGAGCATAACCATGTATAATATCCACTGAAGTTAAAAAGAGGTGCTTTGCAACATTAAACTGCAGTGTGCAGTACGTATTTTTCGGACCATAAGGTGCACGGGATTATAAGGTGCATTAAGCGAAACAAAGCAGTCAGATAAATCAAACTTTATTAAACTCATTCTCCTTGCTTCCTCCACTTCTGTACCATTGATTCATTAATGCTGTATTCTCTGGCAGCTGCTCTATTCCCGTGTTGTTGCAGTATATTAATGACTAACCTCGTATTGTGGATGGATTATCTCAGTTGTTCTCCTGACTGAAGTTTGGTCCGTTTACAGCATCCTGCCATGCGATTGCATTTGTTTCTAACCATGAGGAACCTTCACGTTAACTTTTATAAGTGGAAAAGTGTTAGTGTTCGTCCTCCAGCTTCACTGTTTATGTTATGCTAACATAGCTGTGTCGCTAGCGATCACGTAGCAAATCATTATATACCAGCTAGCCCAACTTCAGTAACCCTACAAACGTCACTGCTGTTTAGTTTCCTGTCTTCATTTATGTTGGAAGTGATAGCAGAGCTGTACGTTTGAATTTTTCCAGAAATCTCTGTCAGAACAGAAGGGCCGATGGCGTGATATGGCAGCCTCGCTTCTGTCAGTCTGCCCCAGGGCAGCTGTGGCTACAACTGTAGCTGCCTCCACCAGTGTATGAATGTGAGAGTGAATGAATAGTGGTATTGTAAAAAGCGCTTTGGGTGCCTTGAAAAGCGCTATATAAATCCAATCCATTATTGTATCATGCTTAGGTAACTAGCGAAACTAGCGAGCTAACTTCCGCTAGCTTCCTGCTAACTTCTAACTCCGTTAAATGTAATAAATTTTGTTTTCATGGATGCCTGGATGTTAAACTTCATAGTTTCACCTGGTTAAGCAGCAATACTGATCGTTTTATTAAAGATGAAAGAATTGAGACAGTTTTTAACTCTCAGTGATGCTGCAGTGTTCGTTTGACCTGAAGAATACGGAGTTTGGGACCCAGATTACTCCCAGATTTAAGAGCATCTTAGTCCGACAAATACGACAATAACGACGGCCGCTTGCATGTTCTGCAAAAAAATGTGCTTTGTCGTGTATCTGACGGACAAACACCAAACCAGTTCCACATCACTGAGGTTGCACCATTTTTACAAACCAATTCTGGTTCATCTGTTTCACTCAACAATCGGCCATGTGCGTATGAAAACAAAGGCACTGCGCATGCGCGTTTTACTCATATTCGACTGCGATATTTCATTTTCCTATCGTTGCCTAACATTATACCGGTATTACCGTGAACAGTATAATATGGCCCAGCCCTATTTGCAACAGCACCTCTTGTACTACAATTCAAAAAGTTCTCTTTTGTAGGATCAAGAAACACATGCAGCGTGAAACAAGAAGCAAAACAGGAAAAAAATGAATGAGCGTGATGTGTGTAGTTATGCTTGTGCACCAGTTGCAGTGGTTTCATTAACACTGCATTCATCGGGATCTTCCAAAATGCTGCTTGGTCAGGTCTGCTGATATATATTTTGGGTTTATATAGTGCAACTGCTTGTAATAAAACAGACTTTATGTAAAGACTCAGCTCAGGATTCATATAAAGGACTACTCCCTGCTCCGTCCCCATCAGTTCGAGAAATAAAAAACCTTTGCTTAGATTATAAGCAACAAGCTGTGCATATGTTGTTAGTAAGTTATTAGTGGCAGCATTTACTGTCATACATATTGTTACTAAATCACCTCTGGAGCCACAAGCATTATTCCGTTTTTGTGGATTCATGTTAATTTGCCCAGCTAAGTCTATCTGGTCTTTGTATATCTGCTCCTTGTCTATAGTAACGACAGACTGTTGTTACTATAGACAAAGATCAAAGATTTGCAGTTTTTCAGTGCATTCATGTAAATTTCCATGAATGTTGCAAAGGCGTTGTTCACTGGCTCTTGTTCCGGTCATCCAGGTGTAGATGACTGGTGTACAGTTTGACCAACAAGTCCCTCCAGTGCGTCTAATAGTCACATAATCCCTCTACTTCCTGCTGTCTCAAGATGACCATCAAAAACAATCCCTGCCCCAACAAAGGAAGATTAACTGAAGCACACAGCGGTTCCATGTAAAGATGCTCTTCAGGTTCAGTCAGTAGCACTTGAGTGAAGAGGCAGCACAGCTAGCAGGCTTTTTAACTGTCTCTGACTTTGTCTGTCATGTGACCGTGCACTGCATGTGGCAGCAGTACCTGAAGAGTGCTTCATATTGCTTCCCTTCAGCTTTGCTGTAAATGACCACGTGCATAATAATGTAACATACGTGTTTTCCTTTCTCTGGTCTCCTTAAGGTCATGTGCGCTTCATCGACTATGAGTACTCCAGCTACAACTACCAGGCCTTTGACATCGGCAACCACTTCAATGAATTTGCAGGTCAGCAAAAGCACAGTGTGATTTACATGAGTTAGTTATGTGTTGGTGGTGCACAGCTTATCCTTCAACTGCACGTCCATGTGTTTGTTCAGGTATGACTGAGCCGAACTATGGACTCTATCCTAGTCGGGAGATGCAAATGGAGTGGCTCAAGGTGTATCTGCAGGCTTACAAACTCTTCACCAAGAACACAGAGGAGGTCAGCCAGCGAGAGCTAGAGACGCTCTACGTTCAGGTCAACAAGTTTGCTCTGGTGAGACAGATGTTGACAGATGCACACAGTATCTCTTGCAAGCTCAACCCTGCTGTTTCATGGTACACATCTGATATCTCATTTGTTTTCTCTCAAGGCTTCTCACTTCTTTTGGGGTTTCTGGGCTCTCATCCAAGCCAAATACTCCTCCATCGATTTTGACTTCCTGGGGTAAGTGTGCGTGTGTGAAGAGGTTAGCACTAAGCATCATGACTGTACACGCACACATACACAGAGACGCACACACCACCACATCCGTGCAGATGAGTTAAGCAAGTCATGGTTGAATGTGTTTGGGAATGTGGCAAAGGTTCACCAATCTGCCAAAAATTGTGTCCACAAACTTTTTTTATCTTATCTAAAGAACACATTTGTAATATTCCAAGAAGAAATCTTAGAGAAGAGACATCTCTGTGCAAGCGACAAAGTCAAAAATCAGTCTTTTCTGTCTCTCCGTCTGCAGGTATGCCGTGCTACGTTTCAACCAGTACTTCAAGACTAAACCTGCAGTGATGGCCCTGCAGATCCCAGAGTGAGAGGAGGCGACGGAAGCCAGAAGGATGAGGAGAGGAGCCCAGAAGGAGGTGTGTTTGAAGGTTAAATGCTGGGACTTCCTCTCCCATGAAGACGCTTCTGTGAGCCAGCTGTTGATGGACCACTCCTCGGTCAGCCTGGCATCCTTTTCCTGCAACAAGCGCAATTACTCTTTGATTCCCCCAAACTTTAGCTCCACGTACGTCACCGCTGTAGCCCGAGAATGACAAAACTTTCATGTGTGTATGTGTGCAAGTGCATTCGTCTGCGTTTCTAATATATGTTGAAAAAGCGTCACGCTTTTCCTCTTAGAGCAGCTGAACCAGGCGTAGAGAGGTCTGTGTTTGGGATAGGACACCAAAATGTTCCACAACGCTGGTAATGATGTCACAAGAGGAAGGAGAGGGTTGAAGAGTGTCAGGACGATGGTTTGTTTTCTGAAACTGACTACAGGTGCAGCCTGGTGTTAGTCCCATTGTATGTGTGTGTCTTGTGTGTGTTCCTTCCTCTGTCTCTACATATTTTAACACATTGTGACCTTTTCTCGGTTTTTTTTTTTCCATCACCTTTGGTGCTAAGTGCCCGTAGCTTTCTGCACTGAGCTTTCCTCGGGGTGTCCTTTCCTGTGCCCCCTGTTTTTCCTGTTGAAGCACTTTCAGCTTCTTTCACCACATCTTCCACTTATTCACAGCAAACTGCTGCTGCTTATGCTGCTAGAATTGTAAGACTTGTCTGCGTGTTAGTTGGTGTTTCATGCCAAACGCCACGTGTTTGGAACAGCAAATGGAAAGGTTTAGGTTGACTCACTGTTAAAGCTAAATGTGCATTTATTTATTTGTATTAACATCTCAGGTTAACAACTCTTTGGAAAGTGGTACTGAAGGAGGTGGAGGGGATGGCTACAAAGACGAGACCTCTGTGTGTGTTCCTGTCCTTGAGCATTATTTCCACCTTTTTGACTTTTATGGTTACAGCGCATCGCTCTGTTAAATTTTCCATTTAAGGTTTCCAGACATTTTGGAAAGTCACCACCTCTGTCATCCTCCCTGTGCCATGTCCTCCTCTCCCTTTATACCCTTTCATCTTTGATCGCTCACCAGTTCCCAGTTTTGGTCTTTGGTTGCTTCTCCCTTTACTCTGCGGAGGTTTATGCATCTGTTTTTCAAACCGTCCTGAAATCATAGCCCAGTCTCAGTCCCATGCTGTAATCCACTCTATTCATCTCAGATTTAGTGTCAAAACTTCTTACATAATTACATATTGCATAAGTTTTATCTGGGGTCAAATCAAGTGGAGCTTTCAAAAAGAATCTGGCGTGGGTTAGCTGGGGGGGGGTGTCTGTCACGAGATCAGCTACTGTTTTCCTGGGAAAAAGACCTGACTCTGAAAGACGAAGAAATCATTAACGCACAAAAGTACTCACAGCTTAGAAAGCAGGCTTCTTTGAAATCTAGCTTGTCTGTTTGTTAGTAAATAATTTTTTTCAGCTTAACTTTTGACTGAACACCTAACTAAGCAGAAATGTATCTGTTCAAGCCTGTCACCTTTTTCAAAAGGCCAGACAGATTGAGTGTAATGTGAAACATAGACTGTATAGAAAAGATGGATGTAATGTGATGTAATGCACTGTGATGTCAGCCATTGGTGAGCAGAGTCTCATTTTGAAGCCTCGAGTTCTTTCTGAGATGTGGCTCACAGATTTTGTCAGTCATATGCAAAATCGTACAGTACTGTAGTTAACTTCTGACTCAATAATAACTAGTAATAAGTTAATAATTAATATAATAAGAATAATAACGTACAAAAATTACATATTGGAAAGTGTAAGACTTGAAACTAGTAACTATTCAGACAATAAAGTCATCAATGATATGTTTGCAGAGTTCAAAAACTAAGTTTTTCCAGAGGCTTCTAAGCAGTTGGATGTCTTTTTGTGACCTCCCTGCAGGGCATCCCAGTCCCTGCAGGGCATCCCAGTCCCTGCAGGGCATCCCAGTCCCTGCAGGGCATCCCAGTC